GATCCGCTGCCGCCGTTGAGCTGGAGGTTACCGTCGGCGTCCTTTAGCTGACGAGGTGGGCTTGGGCTTGGGCTTGGAGACCACCATATCCGAACGTTGGGTGGAGTAGCCATGGAAGGTCGGGAAGAAGAGGTGGATTCGGCACAATCTTATAAAGCATGGAGATGAATTTATAATTGGTCCATTCGTACTTTTATTTAGTTAGTTTTTATGTCATTTTAATTAGTAAAATATATGTATATTTATTTGTAATTTAAATATATTAAGGTAGGCGTTGGCCAATTATATATAGTTTATTTTGGTCATATTTTATGGAATATATAAAGTTTTTTTTTTTTTTTAATGCATATTAGACTTTTTTACAAGCGTCAATAAAATTTATTTTTTTCTGTTATTCGAACAGCCAAACCCCTTCTGTCATAAGATGGCGTCTTTTTTGTTTGAAAACAAAAATTGAAAAGGAAGAAATCAAAAGGATTGACTCGGTTAAGATTATTGACTTTATATTTAAAGTTACAAATTGATTGGCAAACAATAAATTTTCACAAATCTTGAAGCGCAATATAAGTCTTGAGATAATTTTTTTAGCAATAAAGGTTAACTTTTTAAATAAAAGGCATTCGGAATTCTGATTTCAGCAAACTTACAGTTAAACTGACTGAATCAAACAGACTGACACAAAGATAACAAAATTAGTCAATTCAAGTCAAATCAAACACATATCAAAATGTTAAAACACTTTTGGAAGCTTTCAGTACAAAATTGAAATGTCAAGCAGATGTCCACATAACGCCATCCAATCGTGAGAACTTCCTCGAGCCATTTGATCATAGTGGTTTTACTTCCTTTCTTATATGCAACGTTGACTCTATAAATAGAGTCACACCCTTTCATGAAAGGGGACGTATGTCTTAAGCCAGAGGAAGAATGAAGCTTGAAGAAGAAGGTGAAGCTTAGCATCGTTTATGCATCAAAGATCCGATGAACTCTTTTTGCTTCTGTAGCAATGAGTCACAATATGCATTGTGGAATTCTAACGTGTATTGTGGAACAGCGAAACACCCAGTCGAGCAATACGTCGGTAGTGCATCATGCAGTGATGCATCTTAAAGTCAATGTATTGATTCCAGTAAATAGTCCCAACTGCAGCCACTCTCGGCCGTTGTACAATGAACATTGTACCTTAAAAAACTATGTAGTTCTTTCATGCCTACCAGACATGGACTTGTGCGTGTAAAAATCAATTCATAGTGAATTGTTATGATGAGGTCAAATCCCGTGATTTTTTTCATTTTCTGGGTTTCCACGTAAAAAATTCTGGTGTCTCTACTGATTATTTTCTTTTATATGAATATATGTTGAATTCACGTACAATACTAAGATGATTATTCATTACTCCATCACTGCTAATTCTCTAACACACATCACAAATATTCAATATCCTCTTTTAAGTGGAAAAGATTATGTACTATATTATATAATTTTTATTGAGTTAAAAAGATCTCGTTCATGATCACTTAATTAACTAATCAAACGAGTTTGAGCAATTTCACGAGTACTCAATTACTAAATGATCGAATTATTTTTTTTTTTGTTTGGTTTATTTATGGTCATGAACAATATCATTTGAAACTTGTGAATAAGCACGTCAAGAAACTTGATTAAGAGTCAATAGGTAATTATGAGCAATGGAGAATGCATCCATTTTGATAGATGATGGTTTAAGAGTGGAAACCAAAACTACTTGTCTTTGATAACTTTATGCATGCTTTGAAACTATTCTTCATTGCAACACCGATTATCTTCTTCTTTAATTGTCAATGAGGATTTTTTAGGAAGAGGAAAAATGAGATATGGACAGAGAAAAGGCAGAAGAAGAGGAATCACATGCATATTCTTAGAAGGCGAATAGGAATCATTTTTTTTCAATTACCATAATCTTCCAATAAAATTTCCCCTGGATAATTAAAGTAAAGATAAGTAAGAAATCATGAACTAAGAAAATAAATATGACACTAATGATACATGGTACCTAACTCATTCCTATTCTACATCATATTGTAGATAAGCTTCATGTTTTTTGCCTTGTCGAAATTGACTTATTTAAATATGCTTTCAAGAAATTTTGGGAGCAAATGCAAGCTTATGTCATTTTGTTTAAGTTTGCTTGCTTTTTTTTTTTTTAATGCCGAATTTTTACGACTGAATAATTAAACATGTACAATAAAGGCAATTAAAAAGAATTGCTAGGAAAAAGACTTTTTTTTTTTATAATTTTGGTATCGTCTTATGAATAAAATTTGAAGTCTCTAATCCACCATTGTAAACACACAATATGTTCTCATTAGAATCAAAGAGATGCTATGAATCATGATAAACACTTAATAGGTTCTCATTTGAATCAAAAAGATGTTATGAATCAAGATTTTTGAAACTATTCTTAAAAGGGGCTTTTAAATTTGGTGGGTCAATATCCAAGGTATTATTTATTAGTCATATAGATAAATACGAAAGTGAACAAAACATGTATTTTGTAGTTGACAAGTTAATTGAAAAAATTGATAAAGTAATTTGTAAATGTGAAAATGCACAATTCAAGCCTATTAAAGGTGGAGATCAATCAAAGTAGATCATTTATTTTTTGTTTCTTTGTTGTTTAATAACAAAAGTCATTAAAGAAATTTGATTTTGAAGTTTAGTCCAATTTGAAAGTGTTTAAGGTCCGTTTGAGACAATTTTCTGGCTGCTTTGTTTTTCAGACCGTCATCGCAGTTTTGCTTATGGAATTGTTTTATTGTTACTTTCTAGAAATTTTTATGGTAAAAAGTTCTTTTCTTTTTTTCAACCTAACCCGTTAAAGTGTGGTGGTAGCTAGAAAGCTGCAACTTGATTTTTTAAAATTAAATTAAACTTATAACAACCATCATAGTTTTTTTAACAACAACTTCGCAGTTTCTTTTTGAAACCACGACAACTGCCCCAAACATACCCTAAATCGTCTCCACTGATATGTAAATTATTATAAGTCCCTTTTTAAGCAGATTGCTCGCCCATATATTCATTTCATATTAGTGTGGTGTATATGTTTTCGATTATTTTTATATTTATCTTATAAGACTATGTTATAAATCATTGTTAGTATTAAATTTGCATTCTTTTATTTTTATTTTTGTTTTATATTATTTGCATGATTTGTGTAATTTGAATTGTATGTATGTATGCTACTCACATGAAAATAATTGCTTATTATGAAAATTATAAGTTTATTGCTGATGTGAATGAGAACAAGTGTAAATCAAATATGATGATGAGGTAACAATATATCTTTATTAGGTGATGTGAATATAAGATATGTGAAATTCAAGCAATATATTAAGCCTAATGATATGCTAAATCATAAGAGTATTCTTATTTAGATATTTGATGGATTAATTCCAAGAAATAAGGGACCATATGAAATCCAACAACATATTGGGATACACATTTATAAAATTCAAGAATTGGGAAGCCCTAATATTTTGTGATTTTTTTTTTGCATCCATCAATTGTTGACCTCGCCTCTATATAGCCCTCAAGCTCACCTTTGTGGATCATTGATGTCATGTAGAGTGTGATATAGACTATATTTTGTGTCTTTTTGAATTGTGTGGTATGCATAGAGAAGGTTAATGATGCCGACATGGAAGTGTAGTTCTTTATATTTTGCAATTAACTTTGTACCAAATATTTTTCTTTGTATTTATGATCTTCCCTTTATATTTTGCATAGGGACTATTTTGATACTTTTATGAACTCTATCTACAGGATGAAGGTGCTGATGAGATTAAAGAACTTCCAAAGTTGAGAAGGAATGGTAGCAAAGAACTATTGTCTTTGATTGCATGCATTACTCTATGGCACTATGGTTTAGTTTAGTTTAGTTTTTTTTTAATGTCAAAATAGTTCCCGATTATTTACACGTGATAATTTTAGTCCTAAAATTTATATGAGTGTCAGAATAGTCTCTAACTATTTTAAAATAGAGCTCTAATAGTCCTCCCCATGTGGAATATTTCTGCCTCAATTTAAAGAGTTTGAATACTATTTTTATATTTTTATAAACTCTGGCATTAGAATATCCCCATGTAAATAGTTGGGGACTGTTTTGACACTTCATTTTTTTTTTTACTTGTGTTCTTTTTATTAGGAATGGCAAATTGACCATCCTGAATTTCGTTCTTTTTTTTTTAGTTATTGAATTTGATATGCCACCAACAAATTTCCATCATCCAGCATGAATCTCAGTGCAATTTTTTGAACAAGAAATATTCAAACTTCGATTAAGAGTCATCCGAAGCTCTGATTTCAGCAAACTTATAGTCAAACTGATCGACTCGATGAGACGGACCTAATGATATAAAAGTCAGCCCAATCCGAGTCAAATCAAGCCAGAATCAAATCGTCAAACCACTATTGAAGAATTTCCGGAAGTATTTGAAATTTCATGTTTAACACTATAATTGATCTGATTTTGCTGCTATTTTACCCAGCTTCTATATTCTGATTAGATTCCTTGGAATTGGCTCCGTTTTGATGCATGTTCAACAATCCCACACAATTGTTATGTATTTACATATGTTATACTTCAACATTTATATTCACATCCATATCACTAAAATCATCAACATTGCATTAAAACCGCGCCAATTTTTATCAAATGCGGCATTATTCATCAAATTTCTTTTAAAAGTTGTGTTCGTCAAATGAGAGAATACGAACTGCTATCTGAAAAGACGAAAATTTACCATTCTTGCTAAATAAAAAAGAAAAAAGAAAAAATGGGAAATATCAATTTCTCTTTTTCACAAAATAAAAATTTTAATAAAACTAATTTTTTTTTTTTTTAACCGAATGAAATTTCAGTGCCTCCTTAAATGAAGGCTTATTAGGCCTCCTCTGAGAGATTCCACCGGGAACTCAGTAAAAGAAAGTGAATTAAGAAAATACTTATAACTAAAATAAAAATAAAATCCAAAATAAAAACCCTCATCCCTCTCATCTTTTTATCTCCCCTATTCTTCGTCTGCTACGCTTCCCTTTCCCATGCCTCAACACCGCCGATGAGCCCCGACCACTTCTTCTCCAACAATGGCGACGGTATATTCAATCAGTAAGAAACCCAAATTGTTTGATTATCCTAAAGACCGAGATGACCTCGTCTACCTTGCCGTGCTCGCCGCCTCTGGCGGTCGCTACGAGCACATGTATGGCTACATGAGAAGGCTCGCCGAAATCCTCGGTCCCACCGAACGCCTAACCGTCGAAGAGCGCAAATGTTTCAGCTGGGCCTGCAACTCGTATATAAAAAACAAACAGGATGCCTACCGCAGCGTCGCCAAATTAGCGGCCGATTGGGCCGGCATCGATCAAAAGCAGGCGGATGCCGCCAATGCTTACCTGCCGATGATGGCGAGAGAGATCGATGCAATCTGCAGGGATGTCGTCAAGACCATCAATAAGTATTTTATGGACCCTGTTTATGGGCGGGTGCGGTCGGCATTGGCGGTGGAGCCTATGATTTTTTACAGGACGTTGAAAGGGGATTTTCTGAGGTATCAGGCGGAGGTGAACACAGGGTTCGAAAGTCAGAGGTTCGCAGACGAGGCTTATAAATCCTATCTGTCCGCGAAGGTGAGACGCTGAATCCTTCTTTCTAATTGAATTTCTGGATTTACGAATCGATTTCTTGATTGTGTTTCCGTTCTGTTCTGATCTTCTTCGAATTAAAATTCGGGGTGAAGTTGCATTCTGATGGGGTTTGATTTAGTCAATTTGGGATTTAGGGTTTTGATTGAAAGTTTTTTTTAAGGAGATGGTTTGCTGTGTAGAGAGACGAAGGTCAATTGCCGACGACAAATCCAACACGGCTTGACATGCGGTTCAGTTTAGCTCACTTGATATGCGACGTATTCCGAAAGCCCTATGAGGGTTATAAGATTGCCGGAGAGGTATGTATTTTTGTTTTATTTTTAAGGGGTGTTTTGCATACATGCCCCATAAAACCGTGATATTTACCGTGAAAATTAGTGGCGTGCCGACTTGTTTATTATGAAAGAAAAAATAATATTAATTTAACATTGTGTTATAATAAAATGCAAAATAAAATGAACAAATTATAAAATAAAAATTAAGAAATCACTTGCTATAAGATACAAAATATTATTTTTAGATATATTTAATACTTTAAATATAAAGTCATCAGAGTTAATGTATTTTGAGTATATTTTTTATTAATATTTTTTAAAATGAGCTGGCTTAGGAGCTAACGAGTCGAGCCGGCTTGACTCACTTCACCCTTATGTTTATCTATCGATAGGGCTGTTAACAATTCGATTTCGAGCTGAGCTGAAAAAATTTATCCAAAATTTTGGCTCGTAGATCAGCTTGTTTACTACAATTCGATCTTGATCCAAGTCAAATCTTAAATCAATTTTCGAAAGATTAAACAATTTTGGAGCTAAATTTGCTAAATTCACAACTTAAATATCACTAATGCTACTAACCATGTAATTTTTTAGCTTATCTAGCTTGAAAAAATTTGATACAAAATTTGGGCCCATATACTTCGATCTGTACCATATCAAAATTAAATTGCTTTTGATCACCGCCATACATTTTCTACCACCCTTTGATATTTACATTGCATCCACCTAAACATTCCTGAGCAACAAATACCACTCCGCCATTCATCATCCTCTTCATCTTCCTTGTTGTGCCTCCTGCAAAACCTTCCGGAGCAAGGGTATCAACGTCGGTCAAATGGCATCGGCGCAGGCGAGGTACCTCTCACTTAAAAGGAGGGCGACAACAATGATTGAAGTTGGTCGAAGGTGCTCAGGAGGCAGTGACCTACAATAGTTGACGGTGCTCAAAAGTGGCGGCTGTCAGAGGCTATAGTGGTCTGGGTGCTCGAGGCGACGGCGGTTAGAGTTGGTCGGAGAGCAGCAACAGTGGCTAAAGTTGGCCGGAGGGAGGTGATGACGACCGAAGTTAGCTAGAGGGAGGTGGATCGTCGGTGCAGAAGTGAGGTTGGACTTCAGCTTTTTCTCCAAACTTCTCCAAGCTTTAGTCTTCTTCAGGCTTCGAGGTCTCTCCTCTTTTTAAGAAAGTGGTATGGCAATATTTAATCCCGACCTCAATTAATGAGAGAATTCAAATCATTCTGATCGGGCAACTCGAAGAGATTCTTTAGACTAGATAACATTTGATGGACATTTGAATATCTTAATGATGTTAGATAGAGTGATCTTGAGTTTGTTGGATTTATTTGTTGAGACGCTCGATCCGACTTTAAGCTCATCAGATTCGACATCTGTTTGGCCTTGCAAATATGTCAGTCAGAAAGCTTACAAAAGAGTTTTAATTGCTTGATTGGGCTTGATTTGGTTTGGATTTGAACAATTTTGGTATCATTGGGTCCGTCTCAGTTTGACTAAAAAATTGTTGAAATTAGAGCTATGAATGGATGGTTATTAATTGAAGTTTGAAATTCTCTTGCTCAAAAATATGTCTTGAGACCAACATCATGCATTTAGCTCCGTGCTAGATGTTGAAAATTTGCTCAAGGCGCGTCAAATATATAATATTTAATTAAAATTTGTATTGCTTCCTTTTTGAAATATATCCAACATATTTGAAACTCGTTCTCATTAAAGCATTGATCGGGGTATATTGACATTTGACTATATCCACACTCATTACTTCTAAAACAACTAAATAAATTGCTAGATCTATTTGTCAAATGTAATACCCTTCTAAAAAATTGCTAGCTAATACATCATAAAAAAGTTGTTTTTGAAAGGTGTGTTTGGGAAAGTGGTGCAGTGACAGTGAGGTACCACATCGCACATTATGGCGTTTGGCCAAAATGCATTTTTCCCTAAGATCAATTTGGTTGTTGTTGATTAGCTTCATGACAACGATGGCTCTTTTGTAAAGATTTCCCTTTGAGGGTAGGTATGCATCAGTGAAGGCGATGGGAAGATGTGAGCTACGTTTAAACCGATAAACAAGTAGAGGCTCTCATTTTTCCCTCGTTGTAGTTGCAAGAGCGTCTGTGAAATCTTCTTCGGCTTCTGGGCCCTGGCAAAATGTGTCACGAACATTCTTTTGAAGTCAGCGAATGAGACAATCACTCCTGATGATTAACTGTTGAACCACCTGACGGTCGACTCCCTCAGCGTGATGAATAAAAGACACTTATAAGTGTTTGTGATCCTCAGCAAGCATACAGTTGACTTGAATGTAGCTATGTGGTTAGTTGGATTAGTTTGACCTGTGTAGAATTCTAGTGTAGGGATTTTGAACCTCTCTAGGATCTCGAACTCAAAGTTATGTCGAAAAAATACATTCTCTATTTGACGACGCTTCAATAAACCAAAACTGACGTCTGTCAATCGGCGTCGATCCAACACTGCGAAGTACTGAGTATCTTCTTCTCTTTTTTCGGCTAGATTGCCCTTTGGTCGGTCGACCCTTTCTCTCAAGCATTCTTCTCCCCTCCTCAAGCGAATGCCTCCCGTTAGCATCTAGCATATGATTCTGCAATTTATGGATTTGCTGGTTCACAAACTCTCTTGTACTATAATCCACACTAACTGCACCTTATAATGTTGAATCTCAATTTATGTGTGAATCACATCTCATGGGAATAAAGCATAAAAAAGGTGAGAGAGAATTTGAGAGAGAGAGAGAGAGAAGAGTGCACAATTAATAATAGTAAAACATTTTGTCTATCCTATTTTTCTCCTAAAGTTATCCCTCTATTTATAAAAAAGAGGGTATAAATGTGACATTATAATTATGTCTCTACTTTAAGTGGGTCGTTACAGATATTTTGGTTATTTTACCTATATGTGTCTATTGCTCGATTGTTCTATGACTCGGTCGGCTGGGCTTGTAAGATTTCAGCTTTGTGAAGCTGATTCGATCTGATGGGTTGATTTGTACAGTCTCATTCAAACTTGATTAACTCTAAGTCAGCAGGACTGGCTCGATCGACTATACTTTATCCATCGATTGATCTGGTCCAACATTCAACTCTTGATTCTTAGTTGAGGAACTTTTGTCAGCGGAATAAAACTATGTCGTCTAGCAGAGAGTGTGTCATTATAACCCGATAGATAGTTATTTCTTGATGAAGGCGTCCTTCAGGATGATTGTGAGGCCCCGTTGTATTGCCAATAATTGGTTCTTACTGAGGAATCTCAGGGGCATTAGTGAGATGACTCGTGATGCCAAGAAGTTGGATGTTGAGAAATTTAGGGCAAAGAAAAACAGAAATCGACACAAATTCATAAGATTACGGAGATTTAACGAAGTTCGACAGAGATGCCTACGTCCTCAGGAGTAGAGCATCGAATTTCACTATTTCAGAGGAGTCCAGTACATACCCACAGGGTTACACATCATTTATATAAGTAAAACACACACAAATAAAATTACTAACTCGCCCTCGCTCCCCCAACGCACTAAATTCCAAGAGACACATCTTCAATTCCAAGAGACACTCCTCTTCATTCCAGGAAACACACATCTTCATTCCAAGAGAGACGCCTCTTCAATTCCAAGAGACTCCAAATTCTGGTTTATGAACCATACCTAACAAATCTCCACCTTGGCGAATATCCAGCCACTTAGGAGAAAATACATATACCCAACAAATCTCCACATTGGTGAATATTCAGCTCCTTAGGAGAAATATATATGCCTAATAAATCTCCACGTTGGTGAATATCAATTCCCTTAGGAGAACTACATCATGAAGTTTCTTATACACTGAAGTGGGTTAGACAACCATGTCGTCTAACAATTGTAAACATTCAACAAGTCCAAGCAATGCAATAATTTATTGATAGTAACCTGCTTGGTCAACATATATGTTGCAATTCTGTTGTGATTCGTGAATCAAATTTTTCACACAAAGCACTTTTCATGTTCGTGTCAACACCTCGACTAAACTGCTTTCCTTCGAGTGAAACCCTTCGCATATTCGCAAAACACGTCGTGTCTGTTTGCGAAATACTTCCGTGAAACCACTGTTCGCAAATAATCGCACCTGCTCGCTTTGCACCCTGACGAACTCCACCTATCGCGAACTCCACCTTTCGCAACTCCACCTATCACAACTCCTCCTGCAACAAATTTGTGAACTTCGTTGAACTACTCTGTTTGCAAAAGGATGCTCCTGCTCACGGTAACAGACGGAACTCCTCTTCTGCGAAACTGGCGCAAACCCTCCTTGAACTTTCCTGGCCGCGGAAACTCTTCTCGCAAGCAGTCGCGGCGATTCGCAAACTGCTGTGACGGTTCGTGACACCAAACTATGGTATGTCGTCGTCCCTCGCGCCTGTTCACAAACTTCCTTCGCGAACTGATCGTTAAACCGAAGCCTCTTTTTCTTCCCTGAATTCGCCCTGCGCTGAATGCCTTTGTCGTGCTTCTTCCTGAAGTAGAATAGGCGTGCGGATGCTAATCACGAATCCTGAGCGCCTGGCGCAAACGAAGACCCTTGAGGCTCCTCTTGCGTTGCGAACAGAAACCTGCTTCGTCTTCCTCGGCTAAGCACCGATGTCACCCGTGAAGCGGCTGATCTTCTCGTATGGTCGTGCTAACTCGGAGATCCCACTGCGTCGCAACTTTCTGACCGAATTTGTGAACTTCCTTCTTCGTGAAATGCTTTGCATTCGCAAACTTCCTTCGCCACTGAAATGTTGCTAGCTTCATGCGAATCTCACCTCTTGCCTCTGGCAAATCTCCTTCGTAGAACCTTCGTTCGGCTGCGAACTCTTCTGAGTCGCGATTTGCCGCGCCCTCTCCACGACCTTTCCTACGTCGAATTGTCGCAGTCCTGTTAATGATTCTTCCTGAACTTTGTCTGGCCTCGACCTGCCACGATGTGCGACCTTCTAGCGCGATTGCTGGAAGCCTCGCCTGCAAAAAGAAGTGCGAACCAATTGCCTGTGGTAGAATCCTCTGCAGATCTGATCACCTTTGTCGCGAACCCTTCGAAATCCTTTGCCTACCCGAGGAACTGCCGCAAAACCGTCTGAACTTCTCCTGCCAAATCCCCAAATCGTTCTTCTTAATTCATGCGCCGCTAAAGTTTTTTTTCCTGCCCTACAGCCTCACTCTAATACTAATTGTTGAGAAATTTAGGGCAAAAAAAAAATAGAAATCGTCACAAATCCATAAGAACACAGTGATTTAACGAGATTCGGCAAAGATGCCTATGTCATCGGGAGAAGAGCAGCGAATTTCACGTTTTCAGAGAAGTCCAGTACATACCCATAAGGTTACACATCATATATATAGATAAAACACCCGCAGATAAAATGACTAACTCGCCCTCGCCCTCCCAACCCACTAAATTTCAAGAGACACCTCTTCAATTCCAAGAGACTCCAAATTCTAGTATATGATTCATACGTAACACTGGATTCTTTCTTCAGATCATATTTATTGATAGGCAGGTCGATGCCTTGGCTGGGTTTTTCGTGATGATTAGTTCGAGTGCTTTAATGTGTTGCTCTAGTCCGACGTCTCAAACTCGTGCCATTCTTTTTCTCGTTCTCTCGACTTAGTTGGCGTTCGTCCTTGATTCGAGCGGTTTATACTCGATCGGCCTTCACCTCCGGTTCACGTGGCTATATCTTTTCAAATTAGTGGGTTCTTTGGTCTTTCTTCAGTGACCCTCCATTGTACTTCATACCTTATGGATTATTGGATCATTTTGCGAAACCTTCTGGCACGTTATCAATGTAAAACACCAAAATAAATTGCTAGCTTATCAATTTGCCAAATTTAGTACCCTCCCAAAAAATTGTAACGAATATGCCATCAAATAAATCTACTTGAATGGTGTGTTTAAGGTAGCGGTGTAGTGGTCGTGTGCTACCACACTGCCCTTTTTGACGTTGGAGAAAATTATTTTCATAACTGCGATGCGAAGCTGCATTTTGTAAGCTGAGCTGGAAAAGTGTTGTGGCTGCCAAAATCCTGTGGTCTAACTTTTTGAACAAACAATTGTAATAATCAGTGTAAATTTTTTAATAGCAGTTTCTCTTACAACAATTTTACAACTGCTCAAACAACTGCAACTGTCTCAAGTAGACCCTTTGTGCAAACGTTGATGCGGCATTTAAACATGAAATTTAAGAATTACATCAAAACTATCTAAATTTTGATTTCAGTAAACTAAAAATCAAACAAAACAATTCAATAGTTGAATTGGGCCTTAAATATATATAAATAAATAATTGTGAGGCATGGTATGTATGTAAATTTCTCTATAATTTATGGTAAAATATGTGCAATAAATAAATAATCGTATAAATATTGTATCATTCTCATCTGAAAACAAATTCTAATATGTTGATTAAATTGAATTATAATTTTTAAATAGATTATTTGTTTCAATTAAATATCTATTTTATTTTCAGCGCATAAATAAAAGACTTGACAACAAATCTAAATAAAAATGTTTTTTTTTTTCAATAGGCCTATGAATTGGCGATGCGAGATTTGAAAGCTGCCGGGGAGGAACCTTCAGGAGACATCGCTGACGCATTGAGTCGTCTGCAGCACTTTCTTAACCTTTGGAAGAATTATGCAACTTAGGCTTCGTTTGATGCAGCTGCTACATTTTATAGCAATTGTGTTTGCCGAACTTGTTGAGAGGAGTGGCAATCTGGAATGACAAAAATTTATCATTTTTATGGAAGAACTTTCGAAGACATTCGTCTCCATGCCATTCGCTTCGACTAAATAAGGCTTCACCGTCTCCTCAAACGAAGCGTTTAAAGGATAGGTTAAGGAAGTATACTTATTTTTATTTTTATTATTTATGTTTAATTTCGGGCCTTTCTGATTGTACTTTTTCTTTTTTTTGCAATAAGTTTTCGAAAGTGAAATCGATATTTAGAATTTTGAGTTGTTGCTTCATAGCATGCAAAGCTGTGGGATTCATGCACTTGACAGTGCTGGGGGGAAATAATTTTCAGAAGTTTATTAATATGATGTAGGAAATAATGTGAGATTTTATATGACTATTGTGTGAGAAGCAGAGTTGTCGAGAGATATATTGATAATCTCTTAAGATTGTTGAGAGTCACTTTATGTTATGTATTTTTTTATTATGCTATTTCATATTTTATTTTATTTTACTTAATTTAAAGTTATAGGTTGCTTTTACTTTATTGTGTTAAGTTAATTTACGAAGTGGTGGTGGTGTTCATTGGCCGTGGTTATCAATGGTTGCTGGCGTTGGCCAGTGTCATGTGGCAGTGGTTGTTATGGCTAGAGTGATTGCTTGTGATGGTAGTGATGGTAGTTGATGATAATTTTTGTTTTTTTTTAATATTCAAAATTAATAAAATTTATTGGTTTTCTTAAAATAAAAATGACTAAAATTTCTATCAACAAATATATATATTTTTTTATAATATAAAATGTAGTCAAATAACCACTTTGACACTTAAAATTGATTGTGCACCCAATTAGGAAAGTATTAAAAAAATTACTAGTGACAAATCTATATATTTAGGGGAAAATTTTAGATTATATATATATATATATGGGAGTCCAAGGAGAGTTGGGGAGAGCTTTTTGCGGAGTGGAGAGGGCATCTTCCTTAGAGAACTAGGGTTTTGTTCCTTCTTCCTCTACCTCTTCTTCTGCTTAGGGCGTGGAGCCTTGAGGGTTTTTTTTTAAGGAGAAAGCTAGAGGTTGATCATTTCCAAACCTCTTCCTCTTCTGGGCTATTCTTCATCCTCTCTAACGAAGCTTCCGAGGAGCACGGCTAGGAAAGCGTCATCCTAGCTCGGGGAAGGAAACTACAATGAATTCCGGCGATCTCTCCGGCGAGGTGAGCTTCTTCCCGAACTCCGATGGACGTTGAGCAAACCCCATAGTGCTAAGGAAGCCCTATGGATGGACGTTGAGCAAACCTCTTCCTCTTCCGGATGGACGTTGACTCCCCCCCTCTGGAATTTCCTTTCTTTGCCTACCCTAGGCCTTAGTTGTGCTAGGCGTGTGGATTCGATCGCGCACATGGGGTGTGTGCTCCGAATGACATTGGCCGACACGATCACGTGCTTATGTGATGGATCATCGCTTTTCTAGAAAGCCCTATGGTAGGATTTCATGCGTGGTCAAATACCCTTTGTAGAACCAAGTGAATCCCTTCGTTGAGAGTCCTAGCACAAGTTCTAATGGGTTGGAGTCTCTTCCTTTTATTGCTTAGGATTTCCCAAATTTCCTTGGAGAATTTGGGAGGTTGAACATTGCAATGTGCGAAATACTTTGTAGCTAGCTCACTTTGCAAAGTCTTGAGTGACTTGCAAAATGAGAATAAGCTTTGTAGTTAGCCTATTTTGCGACAATGTGGTGATTTCCTCTCCGAAAATTTGGGGGAGAAACTCCCCACATACCTCGTCAAAGCAGGAGGTGGCGATGTCGCATATCCGAGCGCCAAACCCTAGGTTCCTAAGCAAAGATGTTAGCACTAGCATGGTTCGCTATCGATCATGTTTGCTTACCTTGAACTGTATCATGTGTGCTTTGCATGTATCAACCTGCACTCGCACCAGTTGTGCCACGATCGCTCTTCACAGACCGATTGACCCCACTTGTGCCTCAATCAATCGTCGCAAACCGATTGGACATAACTTGTGCAACGATCGGTTGTCCCAGACCAATCGACATCACTTATGCATCTATCTGTCTTTCCGGACTAATCAATACCACGTGTGCCTCAATCGGTCATCCATGACCAATCGACAACGCTTATGCTAATAAGATTAAAGAAGCTTCCAAAGCTAAGAAGAAATACTAACAAAGAAGTGTTGTCTTTGTTATCTTGCATCACACTATGGATCTTTGATCCAATTTTTCTTTTTTTTTTAATGTCAGAACGGTCTTTAACTATTTACTAGTGGCAATTTTAGTTTTAAAATTTATACAAGTGTCAAAATAGTCTGTGATTATTTTATATTTTACCTCTAACAGTACTCCATGACAAATATTCCAGCCCGAGTTTAAAGATTTTGATGACTATTTTGATACTTTTGCAAATTCTGAGAGTAAAAAATCCTATGTAAATGGTTGGGGACTGTATTGACACCTTACTTTCTTTATTTTCTTACATGCAGGCCATCCTGAGCTTTGTCCTTTTTTACAGCTTTTGAATTATTGTCATGTCTTACATTACAATTGATCTGATTCTATATTCTGTTTTGATTCATTTGAATTGGCTCTGTTTTTATTCATGTTTACCGATACCACACAATTGTTATGTATTTACATATCTTATAATTGAAACTTTATATTCACATGCATGCCACTAAAATCTTCAACATTGCATTAAACAGCGCCAATGTTCATCAAGCGCGGCAATGTTCATTATTATTTTTTTTAAATTGAGGGTCTTGCTTGAGGCAGTTTATTTGATGCGGTGACGTTTTGAAAACGTATCTGATCTGTTTGTGTAAATTATGTTTTGACAGCTTATGTTTTTTCAAACGCTGAATAACAGTATTTTCACACCGCACTTGTCTAGGTGCGGTGACAGTTTTCTCACTACGGTCAGACTTTTCCAAAAAAATTAAAATTTGTAATAGCCACCGCACCCAGCTTATCGGCATATTATTTCTAATCAGCTTATCAGCAGATTATTCAATAAGCTGCAGCTGCCCCAAACACACCATGAGTTCATCAAACAGGAGAAGACGAACTGCTGTCAGAAATGGCGAAAATTTACTCTTCTAACAATAAAAATTTAAAAGATATTCTTCTCTCTTATTTCATCAAATAAAAATTTTTACAAAACTCAATATTTCGTTTCAACCGAATGAAATTTGAAGGCCTCCTTAAATGAAGGCTTATTAGGCCTCCTCTGAAAGATTCTACCGCGAATTCAGTAAAAGAAAGAAAGTTACGTAAATACTTATAACTAAAATAAAATAAAAAATTCAAAATAAAAAGACTCTTTCCTCCCTCCCTGTAATTAGTAAGTTCCACATTTTTGGTTTCATATATTTGTAAGCTATATGTAGATTACAGGTAGGTTACAGAAATATCGACGTACACAAATCTGCAAATATTTCTCGTTGATATGGCCTATAGATCCTATCTTTTTGCGAAGGTGAGACGCTGGATCCTTCTTTCTAATTGAATTTCTGGATTTACGAATCAAATTATTGATTCTGTTTCTGCCGATCTTCTGCGAATTAAGATTCGGTGTAAATCAGAATACTGAGGGGATTTGATTTAGTAAATTTTGGAATTAGGGTTTTGATTGAAGGTCTTTTAAGGAGATGGTTTGTTCTGCAGAGAGACGAATATCGATTGCCGACGACAAATCCAACTCGGCTTGACATGCGGTTCAGTTTAGCTCACTTCATATGCGACGTACTCCAAAAGCCCTGCGAGAGGGTTATAAGTTTGCTCAAGAGGTATGCATTTTCAGTTTTATTTTTAATGGGGTTTTTACATACATGCCACGTAAAACCGTGATATTTACAGTGAGAACTAGTCGCAGTTATAAGTTTGCTTAAGGGTCTGTTTGGCGCAGCTGCAGATTGTCAGCTTTTCAGCCGGCGCTGCGCTG